TGGTGCAGTCCTGAAGTTCTCCGCTCTGGATGCAAACACAAACAAGTGAAGATCATCGGTTTTTACACATCCCAGCATCCTTCACACAGGCCTGGCGCCCCTCCTGTCCTGAGATGGCCTGCAGCACACTGCGAGTGAGGGACCCGATAGGTTTTCTAACGTTCTGACAGGACGTTCTCTGATTGGCTACTTGCTCCAACCCTCCCCTCCTCACAGTCTCTTCACCTGTTTCATTACACAACTGCCCCACTTACCCTCTTATCCCCTGCCCTGTCCCAAACCAGCCTCCCTTCCCTCCCATGTCCCCTCTCACGTCTCCTTTCTGTCCATGTACCTGGCCCCCTCCTAACTCAACCTTCTGGAAAACTGAAAATTGTTTGCCACCACCCCTTCCCTCAAGTCCCCTTCTCTGCCCCCTCTTTCCACCCCCTCCCCTGACTGCTCACCTTGCGCAGGCTCATGCTGCGAGGCTATAACATTGCAGGGCATGGGATCAGGCTCGGACTGAATTCTGGGCTCTGAGACCAGACAAAGAAGGTGGGTTTAGAGATCCAGGCTCCGGCAGCTACCTTGCAATTTTTAGTCCCACAGCCTGAGTTGGCTGACCCAGCAGGGCCATCCCGAGACATTCTGGTGCCTTATCCAGCCTAGGAGGGGGGCACATTCAAGGCTGTTGGGGCAGGAGTTGCAGGGGGCAGGCCCAGAGATGCAGCGGGCAGGAGCAAAGCAGAGAGGTGGAAGTCCTCGAGCTCACACTCACTGGTGGCAGTGGGAAGTGGGGTGACCTGGGCCAGCCCACTCTGATCCCCCAGCTCTCAGATGCGTCCCTCAGGGGAAGAAGCTTGGGGAAAGGGAGGGGAATTGCCCCCGACATGCACTGGTAGCAGCGGGGAGTGGAGCAACATGGCTGGGAGCCGGGGGTGTGGGGGGGGCTGGGACTCTGCCCCTGCACTTCCAGCCACTGCTGCTGAGTGCAAGGGGTGGCCCAACCCCTACTGCCAGCACCAGGCCCCCACTAATCCCCTAAGCCATGTCACTAGGGGAAGGGATGGAGTGGGGGCAGGGTGTGGATGGAGTGGAAGGGTGTCTTGGGCGCTGCAAACCTCCCCCAGGGATGGCCCTACTGAGTGCAACCTATGGAGGGGGGGTCAGCAAGAGGATGGGACTAGCAAAGCCAGCATTGCCACATGCAGCTGCCTGGGCCACCATGCAATTTGGGACAATTTGGTGCCCCCATATTTCCTGGTGCCCTACATGGGTGCATATTTTGCATATGGGTAGGCACAGCCTTGCAACCCAGCCTCTGAACTTGGTGCCGGGGATTTTGAACACAGCATAGTGGTTACCTCAGGCTGCGTCCATGCGCTAGTCTCTAGTGATCCACCCCCACGTTTCTTCCCTACCATTCACCATGTAGTCTCTGAAAGCCACGGTGGCCTGTCTCATGGGAGAGCAGTCACGCTACAGAATAACAACAGAGCCCTGCAAGGGTAGCTAAAGAACCTCTGGTGTCCCTGGAGCTCGGCTCACTCACACTGCTTGTTCTCCACTTCCTGTGCCAGATGCAAGTGGGATTCATCTGGCAGCTCTGCACAGGGGATCTCCCGGCTGGCCAGCATGGGCCAGGCTCCACTGTATTGAGTGGCACAAAGTGTCCAGGACAAGAGAGTAGAAGCTGAGCCATTATGTGGGGTTTTACCTTGGCATGAAGATGATGCAGTTTGCTCTTCTGTCTGGATATCCATTGCTTCTTCGGGAGCCTCTCCGGCTTCACCATCTGAAAGGCAGGGGAAGGCAGCGTTACTGAGATGATCATGGGAAGGGCTTAAGCAAAAAATGAAAGGGGCTAGCGGAGGATTCTCCCCAACTGAGCCATTTTCAATCCATGGAGTAAGCCTCAATATACTTATCTCCTGGGGGCCAGAGCAGCTTAGATGGTAAGAGTCACCACTGAATGCTACACCTGATTTGGCCATTGAATGACCTATGGCACGTCACTTCACTTTCCTATGCCTCAGTTTTCCCACCTGTAAAATGGGGATGATGGTACTGACCTCTGTGGAGCTGGCAAGACAGCTCACTTGCCCCTCCCTGCTACTTTGCACAACCCTGACTGGAAGGGGGTTTGCCAGCCAAACACGGCGGCTACGTCTACACTGGCATGATTTTCCGAAAATGCTTTTAACGGAAAAGTTTTCCATGAAAAGCATTTTCAGAAAAGCACGTCTAGATTGGCAGGATGCTTTTCTGCAAAAGCACTTTTTGCGGAAAAGCATCTGTGGCCAATCTAGATGCGCTTTTCCGCAAAAAAGCCCCGATCGCCATTTTCGCGATCAGGGCTTTTTTGCGGAAAACAGTACTGTGCTGTTTACACTGGCCCTTTTGCGCAAAAGCCTTTCGGAAAAAGACTTTTGCCCGAACGGGAGCAACATAGTATTTCCGGAAAAGCACTGACGATCTTACATGAGATCGTCAGTGCTTTTCCGGAAGTTCAAGCGGCCAGTGTAGACAGCCAGCAAGTTTTTCCACAAAAGCAGATGATTTTGCGGAAAAACTTGCCAGTCTAGACACAGCCACAGTGTTAACTCTGACCCTTGGGAGGGTTTGAGTGGATAAGCAGGTGGGGATCAAGATGACAGACCAGCCTGGAATTAGAAAAGAACACAAAGAAGTGGCAAGAGCTTGAAGCTATGACAGAGAGGGAGCTTGTTGGAGGAAAATCAGCTGCTTGCAAAAGGGATGCTTGTAAACTCAGACAGGAGCTAAGGCCATGTGACCAATATAGAAGGGGGAGCGAATCAGCTGGCGGGGAGTGGGACTGACCTGGCTATATGCGGCTCTCGGGGCACTGCCCCCCGCAAAGCACGAGTGAGTCCGGCCCAGGAATTCTACTGTGCCCCCCCCTTCCTCAAGTAGTTGTGAACTGTCTGGCTGGTAGACACACTCATGCAGCCTGAGCATATTTACCAGCCAGGCAGTTCGCAACTACAAACTGATACATCTAGTAATAATAAAACTTACCTAATGAGAAAATACAAGATATGTTCTATGTCTGGTATTTTCTCAGTTTGTTTTTTATGTGTTTATATTTTTGGGCTGCAGAAAACAGTACGGAAAAAAAGGGTTCCAACTAAAGTAAATGTTTGGGAAACCCTGGTCTAACCAGCTTTCTGTCTGTCTTACAGTCCATTATCCAATCCATATTCCTTAACTTGCTGGCAAGAATATTGTGGGTGACCATATCAAAATCTGTGCTAAAGCTGGCACTGGGAGCTTTGGGAGGACCAGAAACAACTTATTTGAATATTCATAATTTGATAAATGAATATGCAAATATGCAAATTAATGTTACCAGTCCTCCAAAAGTTCATGAATGGATTTACTGGTCCCTGTGTCAAAAAGTTTAGGAACCCCTGATTTAAGGTGTCAAGAAAACTTCTCTCTGCCTCCCCCAACCAGCAGTGTGTAATTGCTCATAGCAGAGCCTGCAGCCTTCTTCACCCTGTAGCGACATCAGTGCCCAGGGAGCTGCTGCTAACCATTCCTTGTTGCACACTCCCCTTTGTCAAGCACTTTGGGGAAGCCAGGGCCGGATTAAGGGGGGGGCTAGCTGGGCAACTACCTAGGGCACCTACCTATGGGGGGCACCTGATTGAAGTGGCAAAGGGTGCCATGCGCCCCAGGGCAGGGCCGTGCATGCGCTGCACACCTGCTGCCTGGGGTGTAAGTATGGCTCAGTCTGGCACTGGGGGCAGGCAGGTGATAAGAGTCAAAGTTGTTTTAAGAGCCCTGGGTGTTAATTTTGCTCCCTGTACAGACAACACACAAGGCTAGAAGACATGCCCCTTTGGTCTGCAAAATGAACTGGTTTAACATTACAGGAGAGTAGGATTGATAGGAAAGGAGTGGGTGTTTTTTTAGATCAAGAAATTCTCAACAAAGATTCTTAAACCAATTGTTTGAAGCTGGTTACCTGCGCTGTCGTCTATCATCACCCAGGAGTTGTCTGGCTGATCATCATCTTTCTTTGAGGTGGCAGGGGTGCTGTCTGAGCTGGTGTTCCCATGCCCCTTTGAAAAGGAAAGTTACAAGCTAGAAAATAATGGCAGTACAGCCCAGAAAGATCTCTCCTAAGAAAGGCCAAATGTGTCCTGCTTCAGATCAGGTATCCACGCTAGATGGCCCCTTGAGGTCCCTTCCAGCTCTAAGTTTCTGTGCTTCTCTGTCCAGCTGGTTTTTGAAATTGCTTTGTAATAATATAGTCACTTTTAGATCCATTAGTGAGTGCCTGGGCAAATTAAAATGTTCCCCAACACGTTTCTGTGTGTTACCACTTCAGATATCACATTTGTGTCCATTAATCCTTTATTGTAGAGACTGTCCCATTTGGTGGCACATGCTCACGAAACTCCCTGCTATAACTCAGGACCACAAAAGCTCATGATCCCATCTACATATTTTGTTAGACTGTAAGGTGCTGCAGGACTATTCGTTGTTTTTTAAGTTTTTCAGTAACAGACTAAGATGGCTACTCCTCTGTGTGCTGTAACAGGCACTCAGCTGGGGTGACATTCATGCCTATACAGGAATCTGAAAGCAAAATAATTGTCTGCACCCCTTGGGAGCTCTCTGAGACCTGGAGCCTGCAGAAACCTTGAGCAAGCTTTACCATCTGCCCCAAATAAAGGGTAATGCTTTGCTGTGTCAGGCCAGGGAGAGCCCAGACAGCATGTCATGAATCCTGTGAACGGATGGCATTAGTGAATTAACAGTAAGTGAACTGTAAGAGGCCATACTAGGGTCCGAGTTAGTGCACCGGTGGACCATGGACTTGTTTATAACTTTGAAAAAAAGGACTGTGTGAAAAAAAACTGTGTGTGCTGAAAGAAATAAAACTGCACAAAGGAGGCAAAGTTCCCAAATAAAAGGAGTCAGCGAGGGAAGAACTA